TTCCAAGGGGGCGTGGCATATCGCATAAAGTGGAAAATGTTTTTGTGTGTGTCTGCAATGGAGATGGCCAAAAGTATTTGCATTACCTTCTTGTTGCCACCGAGTTAAGAACAACAATTGACTGTTGCCGCCGTCGTCGTCCTTGTTCTTGTCCTTGTTTTTGTAGTTGCTGTTTTCGCTCTTCATTTGCAGTGTAAATGTGCGAGGAAAGGCGGGAAAAGCGGGAAAAGGCGGGAAAATGGGAGCTGTGTTTTTCAAGGAAAGATGGCGATGGAGATGAAAACGCGGCTCCTGCAGCTTAGCGTTAATTCCCATGAAACTCAAACGGATGTGCAGAGTGGCACGCACACACACGCACACAGAAACAGATACATATACAAATACACACACACTCACTTAAGGATACCCATACACACGCATAACCAAGGAGAGCATCAAGTGCCATTTCGCATGACTAAGTTGAGCGAAATTAAAAAAGAAATTGCATGAAAACTCACAAACGCACACAACGCCGCCGCCAACTGAATAAAATGAAAAGCTGCCCGCGGAGGAGTCAAAAAAATAAAGAAAGAAAATTCTGAAAAACAGGCGAATGGATAGGAAAGGGAAGAGGAAAACGCCAAAGTGGCGCCTGCAGCTTAAAGTGCAGCAAATTAAATTTTACCCCCGGAAAAGTTTAAGCCACACTTTTCACAGCCTTCCTTCGCCTTCCTCTTCTTTCAGCCGCATTCACAAGTGGCTACACAGCCTCAGAAGTACTTGCACAATTACAGTGAACACTTGGAAAAAGAGAGGACTTATCTAAGAAATGTTAATGCCATTTTGTTGTGCTTATTAATTATAAAGTGTAAAAGTACATTTTGAAATCAGACCATTCATTAAAAAGTTATGAGCAAATAAGGCATTTTCCGCTAGTCACTTTCAAGCGACTGTTTGTAATGCTGCTTGCATATCTCAATCACTCTCACGCTCATTCAACTATGTAAAGAGTATTTTATAGTCGAGGTACGAGCTATATTTCTAGGAATTATAGTTTAAAATCGGAAAATCGGAATTTCCAACATTTTTTGCTCAGTGTATTACGTATCTAGAAAATCGGTCCATAGGTTAACAGGGCTTACAAAAGCCTCGGTGCTGGGACATTGTTTCACGGCTGAGGGACACTTCCGGTTGTAGGCCTTCGAAAGTGGCCGACCTCACACTTTCCACGTTGCAAATGAAACGGCAAAAAAGGCTCCTTGCAATCTCCATGGAAATACGGCCACGTCTCTTGGCCGAAATCGTTGCAACCCATGATATCTTGCTTCTGTGTGTGCTCAGATCTTGAACGGTTTTGGCATTTCTTTTGTCTGTACACCGGCGTTTTTCTCAATTTCATTTATCCAAAATGGTTTTCCCGTGCCTGGGGAAATTCCAATATGCACTCTCCTATCTGCAATAACTCGATGAAAATTCAGAGCATAAATGAAGCAGAAAAATCTAAAAAGCCAGACAAGGTAAATGTAAAAAATCCAGTACCAGTATTGAAATTCCAAAGCATTTTTTCTATAGACTGGCTCTACAATATCTAGGCATTCAAGCTAGAAAATAAGCATAAAAATCAAAAGGCTAATACAAATTTTACAGTAAATCTAAGAAAATGTTTGTTTAAAACCTTTAAACTTACAACTATATTTACAAGATTTTTCTTTATTGCTAATAGCCTTTCTAGGAGTCATTTAAGAGCTCTATTTATTCCCCTTGCTCCAAGTTTGTTTTCGTAGAATTCTGTTAGCATTTATGTCGCACTTTTGGGGCTGGCCCACACAATTGACTAATATTCTTGGCACTGCCGAATGAAGACCTAAAGTCGACATATATTTCCCCAGCACGTGCTCTCGTCCTCCCGACCATTTCGGTCCTTTTCGAGTGGAAGTGGGATCAAAGACAGCTCCTGCATACATATACATACATATTAACTCCATTATGGCCAAGACAATCCAGCTAATAGAGCCGAAACAGAGGAAGAAGGGTCCTTGGGTTGGGTTCTCTTTTCTAATGCGACACCCAATCGGATTTGTCAGCAATGTCCGAATGGGCAGATGGTCGTAGATGTATTCTGTTTGTCCCACTGATTACGCATCAAGTGCCATAGGGAAAAAGACAGCAAACACACAGGGCATAAGCAAATTGTGGACAAATGGTAAAAAAAGGCGAACAGGGCACTCTCTCAGTGAATTCCGGTGGGACAAACAGTAAACAGGAATATTGTTTGCCATTCCTCGCATTGGTCAATATGTGAGCAGGATACTCGGAGCTACGTGGGCAAACACGAAATAACTTGGAACTAAAATACGTCCATATGCAGAATGTGTGGACAGCAGTTGGCGGAAGTAAATATAACTGATTTATTTTTGGTTGCTTCTGCCTGCCTGAACAAAGGAATTTTCCATTTGGATTCAAGGTAGGAAAATTGTTGGATTTCTTACAGGATTAATTTGAGTTCAATGAACTATAAAAACAACTCACAAAAACATTTTCGCTTTGTAAACTATTTTATTGTATTTATTAATTTATTTAAAGTATTATTATAGCATTCAAAGGCTATACAAAAATATTTATAATTTATGTTGTATTTTTGAATTAATTTTAAATATAACATATTAAAGATTTACGAAATACTTCCCCTTTTCAAACAATTTTTCTTTTTAATTTTAAATTTGTTTAAAATGTAAATATAATATTCCAAAGATTTTTCCCTCTAATAACTTCGCTTTGCATTGTATATTTTCGCACTTAATTTGCTCAACAAGCAAAAGCACCGAAGTGTTAATGAAAATATTTGGCTTTCATTTAACGAGAATCTCGTTTACAGCAATTGCTGCATTTCCTGTGAAGTACTTAATATACGCTGCGTTGCGCATACGCCCAGTGGCTCCCATGCCAAAGGGACTGACAAGTGGAACTCACACACGCATACAAAAACTTGCTCAATTGTGTGCTAGACAAACAAATGTACGGCATTACAAAAAAGATATTTAAGTTTTGGAGTGGGAGTCCTGTGAGTCCTGCATTTCCCACGTGTGCATTCGAGTGCATCTCATTTATCATGCCAGTCTTTGACTCGCCTCTTTGACTTTTCCCCCATTTCCCACGCGAACGAAACCATTTTCCCAGGTAAAACATAAAGGGGAAAAGAGCAAACATTGGAGGTACAGATGCCCTTAATGAGCAGTGGCCGGTGAGTCAACAACTTTTATTTTATTGTCGCTCTAATTGGACAATTAGCAAAGGAGTGAGAAGTGTGAGAAAAAATGTAATAATATAATAAATAAACAGCCAAGAAAGTGTCCTCCCATTTAATTTGGGGTTTCAGGTGTCACTTGAAAAGAAGCACACCAGGAAAAAATTAAAAGCTAAAGTTAATGAATATTAAAATATTTTATAAATCATTCGAAAGTTACCGTAAAGCATTAAAATTATTATTTCAAAATTATTAAAAATGGGAAATTAATTAGCTAAATTTAAAACATTATTAAAATATTTTAGAAATATTTCAGGGCATTTCGAATTTATCCCTGACTATTCCAAATATTTAAGAAATTTATTAAAGCCCAAACTTTAATATAATAAATTGGGCAACTTTATTTGGCAAGTGTTGAGATCCAATATTTCACTCGCCCGGTAATGGGCTTAGAAAAGAAAAGCGAAACACAAACTGGATAACAGCCCGGCCACAATGCATAAAGTATTGTTGTCCTTGGACAAATATAAAACATAATGCGAAAAATAAATGCCTGAAAAAGCGTTGGGAGCGGGATATAAGCAGCTAAAGAATATTCATGTGCCTCAATAAACCGAAAAGAAAAGATGTCCTTTTTGGCGCAAGGCACTAAAGTGAGGCAAGGCAAGGCAAGGATGATAAAAGTGTGGGTGCGGAAAATAAAGAAAAATAAAGAAGGGCAGCAAACAAAGGAAGCGCAAACAGCGAACGTGCATTAAAAATATTGAGAGTCCGGGAGTCCCCGCGAGATGGGAATAAAAGCGAAACTAACAATTAAAGACGCGATTCACTGGCAAGAAAGGCATTTAAAGTGTCTTCTTGTATATGGTATATATTTATATACATAGCCAAACAAATAAAGACAATCGCCGATGGTCGCTTTTCGCTCCGCTGAATGTCCGGCCAAATAAATAAAATTGATTAGAAACGGCAATGGCAGCGGCATCGATGCTCCTTATCTCCCGGCAATTTCATTATTTTAATGCGCCACACGACCATCAAAACTTATGGGCGGAGCAATCTGACTGACAGAACAGGACACTGGGCACAGGACGCAGGACTCGGGACAACGGACATTCGAGTATTGATTGACCGGACTCGGCATCCTGTCAACAGTTTCAGATGGACAACTGTACTACACACCATCAGAAATAAATAGTAAAGAATAGTTACATTTTCCCATAAATTAATCTCAATTTATTATATCAATTTATTATATTATTCAAATAAAAATTGAAATGTATTTTTATTTAAGCAACCTTAACACAAATTTGTATTTTGGACAATTAAAAAAGTGGTTATGGTCCATAAATTACTAATATTTATTGCTATTTAAAAATTATGTATGTGTTAATTATCAAATTAAAATGTGAATGACTAAGAATAGATGTTAATAATATAAAGGAAATTAATTGATTTCATTTTTATTTATATGTTAATAAATAATTGTAATAGCTATAATTAATTTTTTTAAACAAATAAAGTATTGTTTCATATTGATCTTACTCACTCACCTTCATTAAACAAATGTATGCTGCATCTTTGTGTTATTTAATTCAAGCAAAAGATTAATGTTTTCTGTTTTAAAATTTGTTCGTGTGCACATAAATTTTATTCAATGCCTGTGATATTCTGCACTGCCATTTTGAACTGTCACAAATACCAGCCATTTCGGCTGTTAATAAAAAATACGCATTTTTGCCACTGCACACACAGTGATTTTATTCAGCTTTGAGCCCTATTTCTGGCTGACATTCTGCAGCAACAGGAAGTACTGTCCACTTGTCCGGACCATCTGCGAATCAATCAAGTGGAAAGGGGGGCTAAAGGAGGGTCTTCCACCAGGACTCCTCTACTCACCGCCATCAGCGTGGGCAGGGACATTTGCATGAACCAGGACACGTCCAGCCTGAAACCCCGGTTCGTGCGCATCAACATCATGCGGATGAGGTGGCGGAACTCCCGGGACTCCCCGTACCATCGCACCTCGTAGAAGGCCTTGCCAATCTGCTCACTCTGCGGACGGAGAACAGATTAGTCACGCAATTAGACATCAATCAGCGATTGAAGGGAAACGGGAATCCCCTTTACGTCACCCACAGCCGTCGTAAATCGCTGGCCGTTGTAGCAATACACAACTATCTGGTAACCAGATGCAATCAGGTACATGGTCATCCGGATCATGGTAACGCTGCTGTTGCTGCCCTGCAAAGGTGGATGGTTTTCTTTGATTAAGTTTCTTTTGAGGACTATTCCTGGGTTGTCGAAGCCTTACAAAGCCCACGCTCATCTGAAACAAAGCCAATCCCCAGCCGAAGAGGCTCAGCATGAACTGCGAGGAGGTGATGTGCCGGTAACAGTCGTTGACCTCAGCTGAAAAGCTGTAAAAAAGATTAAACGGTTTAGAGGGTATGTGCCGGGTTCAGGAAATAAATCTTCGACTAAAAATGTCAAACATAGCAGATTGAGAACCTTTTTCTTAATGTGATCAAAAAAGTAGAATCACAATCAACTAATAAATAAACGAAATGTAAGATATTAAAAAAATTAGTAAAGAAAATATTTGTAATGGTCTAATTCTTTAATCTGAGATGCCTTTTAATCTTGAATTAAGGTATTTCTAGATTCTAAGCTTTAAAAATTTTAATTAAATGAAAAGTAGTTATGAATTTTTTACACTCACTCCGCCACACGTTGGTACTGATAGATACAGCATCGCAAATACTCAACCCTGCGTTCTCGAGGAACCAATTCGGAAGTAGATAGTTCTATCATTTGATTGAGGGACTTCATTAGACCCACGCTATGAAGGCATAAGACAATGAAAACCCCATCAAAACTAACAGCACCTTTGCCAGAAAATATGGTAAATTAATTTCGGAAAATGTTCATACATTTCCATTAACTCACACATTCCGCAGATGTAAAGAGAACAGGTCTCTAGATACATTTGTATATGGTAGTAGGGAAAACTTAAACCCTTGTCTGCCCAGGCGGGATAAAGTGATGGTAGAGCTAATGGGTTTAAAAATAATTAATATTAAATTAAATTATATATATATATTTTTTTTTTTTTTTTTAAATTATATATTTTATATGCCTTACGTAGCAAAATATCGTAAGATCCCTTGGGCAGTGTGAAATATCGATATAGGTTGCTAGCAAAGGAATTGATAAAGTAGTTAGAGGTAAGGCAAACGCAGCTGCACAAGTAGATAAGAAGTTGTCGACGAGTACTGGCCCAATATCGAACCATTGTGGACTCCACTTGCTCGCGAAGCTTCTTTGTTACAGGTAGATCTATGAAAAAAATGTAATTAATGTGTTAGTCCTAATAAAAATAACTCACCTGACATCCTTGTAAAGATTTCGCACTTTTGAAGTAACTCATGATATCTGGCTCTTCGTAAAAGATCATAGATCTGTTTATGAGCAAAAAGAAAATACCACATCTTTGCTATTGAAGTAAGGAACTGAAAAGCGGTGCTAACGGTCTGAAATGTAATTCTATAATTTGTATAGCTTTATAAGGAATTTAGTAACCTACCTCCACAATTCGGGGAATATCCTGAATATATCGCAGAAACATTTGCCAATGGCCGTAGAGCGAAGCCAAGCTGCTCAGGCTGAGAATAATAGTCCATCTATTTATGGTATAAAGAAGATCCATTATTCCACTAAAATACACCTTAAAAATACTCACATTCTGAGCACCTGACCGCATCGCGAGGGATCCATCAGGTTGAAGCCCACCGTGTAGGAGAGTCGGATCATCTCCCTGATGCTGCGATAGTTGCGCCTCTTCAGCGCGGCCTCCTCTTCCGGTGAGTACATGTCGCCTAATCGACGACTAATTGTGTTAATCGGTCATTTATAGGGACTATATTAGGAGGGCGTGGCCCTTGGAGGGCGGGCTTTAATTAGATGGCTCAGCAGCAGAGGCAGAAAAAAAAAGAAAACCACGCCCCATTACGTGGGAAAAGTTTCACTAAATAATTGAAATACTTTGCGCTGGCAGGAGAAAAAAGGGTGAACGATGTGATTCTCGACATGTCCTGTGGTTAATTAGCCCCACCAATAATTAGATCCACGCCGAGCTCTGACTTTATTATATCCTGTGAAAGCTTAATGGTTTAGCTTTTGGTCTTAAGGACTGAGCTTTTTCGGTTGGCAGGGAAGTTTTCCCAGAAAAGCCAGAAAAGGATGGAATTAAGCTTTATGGTGAAACACTGGGAAAATTGATACTGGGAAAATACTGAGGTGGAGAAAAAGGCTAAATATTCAATAGAAATTATACACAAATGTAGATGTAAAAGTAATTTGGAAAAGTAGGGAAAATGTAGATAGAGTTTTCCTCACAATTAAGAATGCATTCGACCTGACACTTGTTAAATATCTTATCCTAAGAAAGTCATGATAAGCAACAGAGATTGGCGAATATCTTAATGATTTAAGATAAGAATACTTGCTTTTGTTTGCTGTTTTCTTAGATAGTTCCACCATCAATGGAATACCTTCGTTTTATCAATCTAAGTCGGAGGGCTTCTTTATCAGTGGGATGCCTATTTATTGCCCATACTCGCGGTCCAACTTCTTCAGTTTCAGTTTATCTGTGCAGTTAAAAAGATCTCAGCCAGAAGATGATCAACATAAATATATTAGATTTAAATGAAGATTGTCTTCACCATATATTAAAATATCTAAATATTAAAGACCTCGTTAATCTAGCTGAAACCTGCTTAAGTTTTCGACAGATTTTGTTGGAAAGATCTCTATCGCTTTTTCCAGTATTCCATGGAAACGATCCAGATGGCCAAAAGCCAATATTATATTACTCATCGGTTGGCATTAAGCTTTTGAGAATCGTAAGAAATAATGTGAAAACACTGGGAGTTATTCAAGGTCACAGTTACGATAAGGAAGATCTTGGCAATGTTGTAAAGGATTTCCGAGTTCTCACAAAAGCAAAGAACAAAATCGACTTGCGGCATTGCCTGGAGGAAATACCAAAACTAGAGGATATGTTTCGATTTTCTTCTTATAGTAAGTAATATTATAATATGAAACCAAAAATAAATTTTTTTATATTTTATTTCCATTTTCAGCTTGTGACTATTTGAGTGTAAACGTACCATCTTGTATTTGTTACCTTGAGGATTTTTTTAAACTTCTTCCCGATTTACGGGAACTACGACTTTCAGGATTCGCCAAATGCTCCGATTGTGTGGGAACTATTTTGAAATCCTTTCCCAAGTTGGAGGAACTCTGGATCAGGGGAGCCTGCCTCAAACTTCGATCTGATTATGAGTTGATATCACAGATTGGTTCTTTGACTAAACTTTCGCTGAATGTTGGTGGTCCCGACTGCCTTGCACCTTTGGCTAATTTACCTGAACTTCGATCTCTTTATGTGGAGAGCATATTTAGCTATATATCGCCTGGGGAGATTATAGAAATCATACAGAAATGTAAAAAGTTGGAGTTTCTATACTGTTACTATATAAATCATGGACAACAGCCTCATGATTCTATTGGAAATCTCTTCAGAAGTATTAAGTCCATTCGGGATCCTAGTAAACAAAATTCCCTTAAACTGCATACTTATTTGGATCCTCCTTTGTCTCAAGAAAATGTAAGTTTAATCCTTGAATATGATGTACATTTATTTTTAAATATTACTCCTTTAATTTTTTCAGGAAAAGCTCATCGATAAGGCCTACTTCGAATATCGCCGACAGCCCTAAGAAATATATTTTTACCACCCCCTCAATAAAGATAGACGTTAAAGTATTACTCAATGATTTATATATTTTCATGACTTTTCGCTCATATAGATTTAAATACGCTTTAATAAATTTGTATGCTTGTCAACGATTTCCGGTATTCCATTTAGCTGATTTACAATCGTCGTCGTCGTCAAGTCGTCGATCAGACTACATTAAAATGTATGTATCGTTAGGTAAATAATTTAAATATATATTAATAACATCTTGCGTTTGCACGTGTATTTCTTTGCTCTGCTCGTCATTTTACTTAATATATCTCGTTAGTTGTATTTTCAAGTTCAATTCGTTTGCTGCTGGCGTAAATTTGTTTTTGAAAAATATATTTTAAGAACTGAAAAACTGTTGTTTTCGAAAGGGCTCTCTCTTGTATATGAAATAAATATTTACAAAAGTTACAAATACAATTAAAATTATGCAGTGGCGGAATGTGGCCGGTGCTCAGCAAAAAACCGTGTAGATAATCCTAAATGAATTGCTTACAAAATTGTTGTTTTTTGATGCCTCAAGCATTTGTTAATACGTACACATAGTTCTAAAAATGTTTAACTATATTACTTCGAGTTCTTGGCTTTAACATTAGTTATCGAATAGTGTTTGCTGTCGATTAGTTTCAGTTTTTGTGTCAATGCTTGTGTTTTTCTTATCAATTCGAAAAGCGGACGATGAGACATTTTACTATCGTCTCGTAATAAAATTTGTGTGTATTTTTCTTACAGTGTTTCTGTGGATTTTTGGGGGTGTGGGCGTGTGTATCTGTGAGAGGTGCGGGGTGTGTGTGTGTGTGTGTGAGTTGTGATTTTGTGAGTGAGTTCGTATTCCCTTTACTGATATGTTTCTAAGAGGCTAACACTCGCATCCTGGCTCATCGAGGCAACTAAACAGGACAAACCGAAGCCAGTTGGACAGATCGATCGGGAAATACTAGAAATACTAGATATACTAGATCACCGAAAAACCAACGCATACACTGAAATATGGAATGTGGACAAACAACTTGGGTTGCAATAATTGACTAAACACTCTTCGCTCTTCGAACGGGGGAAAAGCCCCTGAAGATTTCCAATTTTATTGCTTACGTATTCGGAGAACGGAGAACTAGGGAACTAAACATCGAGTCAACTGCCTATGGGGTAGATCTAACTAACTGAACTAACTAACATACATCAACACATACATACGCTCCATAACTAACTAACAGTATATAAGGGTGGGTACAATACCTCTTTAAAGGTTTCCAAATCTCGAGAATCTCTGTAGATTTGAATGGAAACTTTACAAAAAGACATTATCCCCACCTCATAATCAATAACAACATCTACATCCAAGCCATCCCTACGAATCCCTACATTTCCACGCAAATTAGATCATATCGGGGGGACCAAGCCAAGCCAAGCTCTATCGATAAGCCCTAAGCCCTACTACACACACGCACATGTACTTATAGATATAGAAACGAACCAACGATTTTTCAACTACTTTTTGACATTTTGACATTATGAATTTGAACGATACGCGAACGATACGAACGATTTACATACAGATATATGCATATGCGGATCTAATTTATAGGGTATCCCCAATCCTCAAGTTTAGCGCGCGCTTGGTTTTGAAAAATAGTTTATATATCGTTTAGCTTTGTATATATATAATGTGTAAATATGCGAGCTGCAATTGCGATGCGTGTATATTCTATATATTTCTTGTATATACTTATAAGTTGCATTCAAAATATGAATATTTCCGTTTCATTTGTTGCTATTTAGGCTTTTCTGGTGATTTCGTCTATATATCTTTTTTTTGTTCGGTTTTTTTCTGTTAGCTGTGTCCTGAAGGCGGTAAATAAAGGTTGCTCTGTACACGAGTGGATTGGGCTCTGCTATTTACACGGTAGCATTACGTTTAGGTTATTATTATTATTATTAGGTATATTTAATAATATTTTCTTTTGTTGTTATGCTTCTTTTGTACGACTTGCGCGGCTAGCTCGGGGTAGCTCTTCCATTTTCCATTATCGATTTCCCTTTTTCCTATTTGTAAAAATACGCAGATCGAATTCCGGGGATCCACCATCTCTAGACTAGGATACTGTTCATTGCTTTTATATAATTCACATTCCATGTTTGCTAACTTTGCTATCACTTTGAGTTTTCCCTTTTGTATGTTTTGTGTGTGTATGAAGGGGTGTGTGTGTGTGTGTTGTGTGTGAGGGTTTCCCTTGGAATAAAAGGTTTGAATTTTTTACATTTTCGGGGCTTGTGTGTGGCTCCCTATTTGCTACGTGCCCTCATTGCCCGCCCTCTTCGCCTCCTCGGCGTCGCGTCCTTGGAGAAGGGCCCTCTGCTCGTCGTTGGCCTCCGCCTCGCCCTCCTCCTCGCGATCCTCCTGGTTGGGCGCCACTTGACTGGGAACTGCCACTTGACTGGGAGCGGCTGCAGTTGGGGGATCTTCTCCAGCTCGACTGCTCACGGGCGATGTGAAGGTCGTCTCCGAGTCTGTGTGGAAGAAGGGAGAATGATTAGTCACTGGGTTATAAAGGAATTTTATCACAACCGATTACACAGGATGAGTGAGAACGATAGCTAATCCATTTTATGTAGAGTTTTTTAACCTGTATATCTTAGGTCTTAAATCCGAGAAGCATTAAATTTTTAGTTTCAACAGATTAAAGGGACTTTTCTTTGGGTTTAAAGACATGCTAAAACTTATTTTATAAATATTTTTAAATGAGATCTCTATTAAGTAGTGAATTAATGTAAAATTCCATTTGATCAACTACAAAAAAATACTATATTAAATTTAATCTATTTTATTAGAATTATTAGTAGATAAATAATATTTTCCTGCATTTCTTTCAATTTGTAATCTTAACATTTTGAAGATCTTCAGCATCATAAAATGGATTAGTTCTTATCGAGGTGCTGAACACAAAGCGGCATGTGGGTGATTATGTGTGTGATGTGTATGAGTGATGTAGGTGATGACTGTGTGAGCTCAACTTCTAAAGCTGTTAACATCGATCTGGCGCTCGGATGAAAATCCCAGCTGGGTGCTATACGAATTCAGGACTTTAGAACGCGTGAGATTTAGGTGCGTAAGTGATCATTTCAGATCACTTCGATAAGTAAGCACTATGGATCGGATCGGTAATACTAACAGATCGCCCGCCCGACGGCCTCCGCTCTCCGTGGGGTGTCAGTGTGTCAGTGTCTGTATCTGTGGGTTTGTTATCATGGTTTCGATGGGATGTGGGTGGCGATGTAGTAGGGTGTAGTTTCGGGTATTCAGAAGGCGGCATCGAAGACGGTGACTGACGGCCAGCCAGCAAGCGGATAGGGAAACGGGAGAGATAAAAAGAGGGTTGTAGATGATTTCTGGTTTCGTCATGGCCGAAAGAAACCCCAGGACACGCACTTACAGGATGAGACAGGTAGAGAGAGAGAGAGAAAGAGAGAGGGAAAAAGAAAAGGAGGGAGAGGAGCGAACTGGCAGTGATGGAAGGTAAACCCTTAATGATAGAAAATTCTAATACAGTTTATCTAAGCACATTTACCATTTTACAAAAATCAATACAAGTTAATTAAGAAGATATTTTCTCTCTTATTAAAATTAAAGCTAACAATTTTATAAGTTATCATTTATCCTTGTGTGTTGTGTGTTTTTCATAAAATCATTATTAATTTAAACTTTAATAAAATTATGATCGTATAACTAAAATTTATAAGAAGAAGAATGTTTAAGAATTATTTCTCATATAATCCGATGTCTAGTTATGATAATATTAAACAGTTATATTTAAATTTCTCGTTTTCTTCTAAGATGAGTACCCTACTATTCGATAACTACCATCACTGCCAGCTGGTCACCTAGCCTAGCCACCACCTACCCAGACTGCTGTCCCTGGTCTGCTGGCCATCCGCGGATCCTGCGGATGCGGAGGCGGATGTGGCCTGAGGTCCGCGCGAGAGGAGCGGCTTCACCTGGCGCAGAGCCTGCTCCTCGGGATAACGGGGCGTCTGGAACTTCGTGGGCTTCGATTGCAAAGTCGCTGGTCCTGAGCGCTGGTGCATTAGGGTGCGGTGCCTGAGGGGTGGTGGGGATATAGACTTAGCTAAAACTGAATGAGGTAATTTATTCGGTGAGTAATCGCTGCCGGATTCGCCCTGTAAAAATGTAAGATTAATATTTCTAAAATATATATATATTATCAGAGGTTAACGCACCATTACGGTGCCGTTGTCGGAGACTCCAGAGCCGGACATGTTGTCCGCCAGGAGGCGCTCGCTTTCTGGATCGGACAGGACGCGCGAGATATCAGACTTGTTTTTCAGGATCGACTTGGAGCGCCGGTGGTGCTCCAGATTGGGCGAGGCGTCAATCGAGTCTATCGATGAGGAATGCTTGCTCTCGAACTTGGCTGTGAAAAGAAAGGGAATTTATTAGGTGAATTTAAACGAAATATTTCCCAATAAATTTTACTAAGCTGAAAAAAATTGATATTAAATAGGGTTAATTCTACCTTATTTCATATGATTAAAAAGGCGATGTGAACATATCAATATGATACTTTATCATATCATATAAAATACCAAATTAAATATTTGTTGAACAAATAATGTAAAACAAGATAAACATGATCTTTACTTACATCAAAATGATATAAATAACTTGACTTATGATAACTTAACACGTATAAGTCTGACATTTGTCAATTTTTTTTCTGTCTATATATCACAGTTTATCCATATGATATATCATATTGTAACCCACCTTTGGCGCCCACATTCTGTATGCCAAACAAATGCTGGTTGATCAGTTTGGTGGCAGTGGCTAAGCTCTTGCCCGGCATGAAAACCGAGCGCTTCTTCTTCTGGGGTCCCTGGGGTCCGCCGCCGAGGAATCCGGATCCGCTGGCCGCCTCCTCCATCCTCCCGCCCCTCTCTTCGTCATCGAGCTTAGTGTCCTCGAAACGGGCTCTGGGTCGCATGCCCCCAAGGATACTCACACCACCACCACCGGTGGCGCCACCTGTCGGTCGCATGGCGGTGAAGCTCTGCTGGAAACGCGTCTTCCGATGCTTTGGCACTGAGTTCTCATTCAAGCTGACCCGACTGCCCCGCTCCTGGACATCGAAGCTCTGGTAGACATCGTCCAAGGGACTCATACCTCCAGCTCCTGCTCCTCCGCAGGCCAAATTCCTCAGGGCCGTGTCCCCGGAGGCACTCTTCTTCACCTGGGCACGCAAAGCACCCGAAGACTGTGTGCTGGGCAGACCCACAATGAAGCCCGTGGAGCTGCTGATGCCCTGATGCTGCTCTCTCTCCAAAGGATTTATGTACAGATTATCCATATCAATGTCCAGAGCACAGGCTTCATCGTTGAAATCCGCGGTAAGATCTCCTTGGGAGAGGAAGGGATGCGTTTGACAACTGGCATAGGTATCCGAACTATCCACACTGGCCAAATCCGCATTGTTGTTATTTGAACCATTGTAGTTTCCACCGAACAGCAGCGAACCATTGGCACCCACACCACCCACAGTGGTGGTATTGAAGTTATTGTTGAAGTTGTGGTTGAAATTAGAGGAACTGCAAATGGTGGCTCCGTATCTCAAAGATACATCCAGTGGCAAAGCGATGGTGGTCGAGGTGGTGGTGCCATACGACGAGGATGTGGACGAGGACTGCGAGATGGCGGGCAAAAGGACGGCAACGGATGTGGGTGGTTGCAGGGGGACGGGCGGCGGGGGCAGGGCCAGGAGCGGTCCCTGAAGGGGGGCAGTGCCACCGACTGGGGCGACAGGAGGCCAAAGACTCCCGCCTGACGACTCGCCGCCGCCAGTCGCATCTCCAGGCAGATCGGCTTGTGGAAGTCGGAGGTGGGCAGCGAGATCACGCCCTCCGCATCCGTGTACTCCTTGAAGTCCTGCAACGAGGGGGGGTTTCGGGAGGGGTACAAAGTGTTAGATACAATTTGGATGCAGTCAAATCGAAGGGAAAAGATAAAGCCGATATGGTAGAGGAAAGATCTTATTTAATCTTAAAAATATATTTTAATCCCTAATACTATAAAAGCAGGCCCCTTTTTAACGGGGGGTTTAAATGGTTGGTCAAACGGTTTGAGATAGAAATCTAAATCAAAAAACCGAAATTCGGAAATAATATTAACAAACAATTTAGATAAAATTAGTACCAATGTGGCCTTAATTTTGTTTTAAATTCACCCTCAACCATATCGGCTTTAAATTTAAAGATCACATGAACCTTTTCTTTAATTTATTTATTTAAGTTATTTGCGTGTTTCGGGATGTTTTCTGGCTGCTTGTTAGTGTCTGATTTAGTTTGGTGTACCTGTTGTCTGGAGTTAGCTTTTTAATTGTGTGCGATTTGTTTCTTTATTATTTCGCTTGAATAACAAAAATTAACATGCAACTAGGAGGCGCCAAGTAAAACTCAAACGTGCAGCGCTATTTATTGTTAACATTTAGTCATATTGATTAAAGTGAAACGAAGGCAGTGCGATTTCTCAACTTGTTATTTGAGGCGAAGAAATAAGTGATTACTGTATTTTATAAATATTTGTAATATAAAGTAGGAAATCTATAATAATATTATAATTTTAAATATTTTTTTTTTAAATTCCCTGGTACACCTGATAAATTTCCAAGTTGAGCAAACGCTTTAAATTAAATGTTTCAATATTCAGACGCAAGAACGTCTTACTTACCAAACCGCTAGTAGTTGCCTTCGAAGTGGTCCCATTACTCGAACGTTAAGTATATATTTAAGTACTCTAATCGAATTTATAATACCGAAAGGAAAAATCAAAAAGTTCTAGGCGAGCAATACGGAAACAATCAGTAGAAGAAGTGGAGTGCCAGAAAGTCGAGTGCGAATAGGTAAAGTTGAACAACAAAAATAGATTCGTTTGTTTTTGTTTTGTATTTTTATTTGCAGAATTTGTTCATTCGATTTGTGGTTTTCATTGTTTGGTTTTGTTTTTTGGTTGAGTGATAACAGGAAATAAACAACAAATAATGAAGATAGCTTTAACATTGGTTGTTCAAGTAACTTTTGGTTTTCATAATTATTTTCGTTGTTTTTGCTGTTTTATAAGTATGTTTATTTTTTGGCGTTTTGCTAGTTGCAGCTACTATACTTAAGGCTTAGGCCATTTTGCTAGGATATATGGTATAAATAGGTATTAGGCTAATTGTAATTACGTGCTTAGTGTAAATAAAAAGAATCGATTTAAACTTTCGTCAAGCCCGTTCACTTGGTACACGCTTTAAATTAAATTCAATTAAGTTAAATTAAATTAAATAATAACACATGCTGCTTTGCTTTGCTTTCTTCTTCTCTCCTTTCCTCGCCTGGTTGCGTTTTAGATGGTAGATTAGGTTTTAGTTAATTTAATTAAATTCTTAGAATTCGCTATGTCTTTCTTTAGCTTTCACGTCACGTCACGCCAGATAACAGTATTATAATAATAATAATCGTAGCAGTAATAATAACATTTAGTTGTAATTTGTTGGTAGTTTAAAGCTATAGTTAACGTCTAATCGTAATTCGCAGTTCCGGTTAACGCATTCGATGCGCCCAAAACACACGATAAGTATTTTCCGATTTATCGATTTTCCGATTTAATCCGATTCCTTGAGAATCAAATCGAATCGAATCTCTGGCTAAACGCTATTCGCGCGCAATGGAATACACTCGCCATGACATCCCGGCAAACCCTTTAAGAAAAAGAAACGAAAAAGAAACAAGGTCAACATAAAATTTCCATTTCCAATTCCAATTTCCAATTTCAATCTCACAGGAAGCCAAAAATAAAATCAAAATCAAACCAAAAAGTGAAACGAAACGATCTCAAAAGTGGGACAACACTGGGTGTTACCATCTCACGGGGTGTTTTTACCGCCTCATAGATAGTATATGTCGATGGTGCCCTCCTCGAGCATCCTCTTGAGGGCCATATAGTTCTTGGGCGACGGCGGCGGTCGGGCCAGCCGCTTGATGCTATACTCCTTATCGTGGAAAACACAAATGCGATCCTGCAACAACGTTCGTTTTTGTTTCGGTATCGGTTTTGGTATCGGTATCGTAATCGCTGCTCTACCAATCCAACTACTTCGGGTCGAGTACGGGGTCGCCTAATATTTAGGAGGAGCTATGCAAGAAGCTCGAGTCTCTACTGATTTATAATGGGAGGTGTCACAGAAATCCATAAATATTTAAAGCTAATATTTGTATTTAAATAAATTTTTAAATCTCATTTTGTACGGAATACTATAAATATGTATATTTTAAAAATCATGAATAATATTTATCTAATTTAGGAAACAAGAAATTTTGTTGGAATCATTTTATTTCAGTAATTAATTTTGAATTTTTGTTGAGCTTTAATTTTTCTACGAAACATTTTTTGTTAATTTTTTGATAGGTTTTTCTGTGACACCCCTTAATTGAAAGTCTCGTCTGGATCGGAGTTCAAAATGCTGGGGTTAACAATTTCACAGTCTGCCAATGGCGTTTATGCGGCGCTATATACAGGTTGAGCATGATTTTAGTTCGTTTTAATCGGGTTTAATTGAGATTAAGATTAGTAAGAAACGTAAACAAAGAGCAATGATAAGGATAATTTGGGGTGCAGGCATGCGACTAACACATAGCACATTACATGGAAAAGCGCTCGAACAATAGCAACAAACGGGAACATCGAGTGGTCACAGCTACAGTGGGGATTCAGTAGGATGGAATCCCAAGCCCATCCCCCCGGTTACCTTGGTTGTGCAGAAACAGCACTCGAATTCCACGGGCACGTCCTGCTCCAGATTGTCCATCCGCTGGTTCTGCAGGTTCTCCAGAGCCACCTGACGACGCAGCTCGGCCACTTCCTATAAATAGTTGGGTGTTTGGGATGGTGGCATCATTTCGCATCGGTCGTTAACAATCGGAATATAAATCTATAGATTCTAGGCTTATGTACAAGTGGGATCACCGGGTTGCAGATCATGCCGCATGCAGAGTAACTCTCGGGATTAAAAGTAGTTAGGTTTTCCTTTTATTTTGGCTTGGAATAAGGTTAGCAAGAAAAATTGTATAATAAGTAGTCCTGTATGCATGCGGCTCAAGCTGTGTGAAGGTGTCGGTGGTGGTGTTGATTTTTTGGGTTTACTATATTACAATCCCAATGTTTTGCCTTGAAGGAAATAGATCCTTCAAATAAACTTCTATTGACAAAAATGAAAACCCAGTAACTGAAAGCCTAAAAGTCATAATCGCCTGCTTTAAATTCGGGTGAAAACTTATAGAAAAAACCTATGAAAGAGATACTGCCGATAAACTAATATCCAGCTCAATGGTTGCTGCCGCAGAACCCGGCTCAAATTGGTCTAAATGTGCTCTAAATGCGCCTAAGCAATCTCCATTGGATCGGTGAGTTAAAATACTTTATAGGAAAAACCTTAGATACTTAATGCAATAGCCTAAACAGTTCAACTATCTATAATTATCTGCGCAATCGGCATAGAAGGTCAGCCCAGCGGTATAAAAAATCGCGAAAAGATGGAATCTTTCTGGAACGGTGATTACAGGGAGAGTTCATATGCAAATGCTGATGTGGAGAGAAGAATAAAGCGGTCTAATTGTGAAGGTCTACTGGATGCAGATCCAATTGGTAAGTTAAGCTCCGACACTCTAGAAAATAATCGCCCTAAATTTTAAAAATAATGTACATTCTATATAAATTTAGAAAAGAAGAAATTTTCTTTATTTTATTTTTCTATAAATCAAAAAATAGCCCTGTTAATTCTGAAAATTTTGTTTCGGTATATTAGTTTTTTGGTAAATATTGGATTACAAAATGTTTTTTAAACCTGGTAACCCTGGCTCTCCTTAGCTCCTGGCATGGACACTCAGGCTTCGGATCAAAATGTTATGAACACCTGCCAAATGGTTCCGAATGTAGCTCCTCCAGCTGCTCCAGTTGCCCCTGCATCCCCCGTTTCCCCAGTTTCGGACTTCTTCCAATCCAACAATTGGCAACCCCAACAAACAGAGTTGCAACCCCAGCAGCAGATGCAACAGCAACAACAGCAGTCATGTCCTCTCAGCAGAATCACCCAGGGAACTCCGAATGCGTATTCCGAACAGGATGAAACGGAGCAGCGGCGCCAGGAGCTGCGCAATCTAGTCCAGCATTTGTACGTGGCCCAGGCGAGGGTCCAACTGGAGGCCACCGAGATCAGGAAGGCGCAATCGGTGGCCTCGTCGGCGCAGGCGCAGCTGGAGGAGTCGGCGAACCATGTGAGGAGCATCACCTCCTCGCTGCACACCGCCCAGCAGGAAGTCGCGGCCTCGGCGATTCGGGCACAGATTGCCCAACTCCAATTGGCTGCCCATGATCAACTGCTGTTCGCCGCTCGCCAGGATGTGGATGCTCTGTCCTCGCAAATGGTGGGCTTGCAGGCGGCGGAAGGGATTGTGCAACCGAAACTCACAGTGGATCTACATGCTCTGCTGGACAAGCTGAAGCAACCTCTGCAGCAATATGATAGGCCCACCGCGGTTCCTGTTATAGCTCCCAGTCTCCCGGGAACTTTGGCCCATCAGCAGCAGCAGTTGCAGCAGATGCAACAGCAACAGCAGCTGGGGCAGGGTCAAAGTCAAAGTCAAGGTCAGGGTCAAAATCAGGTTCCTACGAATCCTACGAATGGAGCCGCTCCCAGCGATTTCATCAGTTTACCGGGGACTAATCCTTATGCAGATTAAGATATTTATTTCTATGTCTAAGAAATTTGTTTTTCTATATTTTGTAAAAGTTTTCCTTAGCATTATCTCTTTCCATCAAATTATATATTTCGCTTGAATATTTATTTTCAGATTATTATGAAATTATTATTATTATTTTTGGGGAATACCAGTTTTATTTGTTATGCTGATGGTTAATATAATAATATCTTCTTATCAAGGCCGCCTAAATATTTTCCTAAAATAAGATTTATTAGTATTAAATCTGTGTAATTGTTTGTGACGAAATTGTGAGTGGTTCTGGTAGAATTTTATGAAATATACAAAATCAAGAATCATTCTTCTGTTTCCAAAAAATGTATGAAATGTAAAAATTCAAGGGATATTTTGGCAGATGAATTTTATTTTCAAGTAAAAGTCATGAAATTAGCAGAGCAAAATTATTTGACTTACAGACTGAGAAAATGTTAAAGGCAAAATGACAATTATTAGATCTAAGACTAATATTTTTGAGCAAAAAAAATTATATCTACAATTTACACATAATCACACTTTTTCCAAGGCGTCAGCATTAACTAAATTTATTTGTAATATTTAGTTTTTAAATTTCAAAACGTTTTTTCGACTGACAGACATTTCCAATATTGAATATAGAAATGAAATCCATTCCTGGTCATTCTTTAAACCAGCGCACCTATAACAAACCAACTTAAACCAAAAGCAAAGGATATAAAATAGATTTAAGCTTTATATCGAAGAATTGGAAAATTGGAAAACAAACATGTTTTAAAATCATCGATTTTTATACCCTTGCAGAGGGTATTATGATTTCAGTCAGAAGTTTGCAACGCAGTGAAGGAGACGTTTCCGACCCCATAAAGTATATATATTCTTGATCAGCATCACAAGACGAGTCAATCTAGCCATGTCCGTCTGTCCGTCCGTCTGTCCGTCTGTCCGTCTGTCCGTCTGTCCGTCTGTCCGTCTGTCTGTTTCTACGCAAACTAGTCTCTCAGTTTTTGAGCTATCGGGACAAAACTTTCGCAAAAGTCTTCTTTCTATTGCAGGTAGTATATATGTCGGAGCCGACCGGATCGGACAACTATATCTTATAGCTCCCATAGGAACAATCGAAAAAAAAAACTTTAAAAAATTCTAGCTTCGGTGTTTTTTGAAATATTACTTTCTACTTTTGGGGATGTTATTTTTTAAATATTTCTGAATTTCGAATTAATTATTTAAAAAATCGGACTACTATATCATATAGCTGCCATAGGAACGATCGGAAAATTAATGGAAAAGTAATAGAAAATAAATTCTAGCTTCTTTGGTTTTTATTGTATTATCTTCTACTCTAGGATATGACTCTTTTTAAATATTTCCGAATTTCAATTTTAATTTGATCAAAATCGGACGACTATATCATATAGCTGCCATAGGAACGATCGGAAAATTAATGAGAAATATTAGAAAATTGAACATTTTTGCGATTTGTTAATTAATAGGAATGATCTGCAAGGGTATATAAGCTTCGGCTGGCCGAAGCTAGCTTCCTTTCTTGTTTATTGGGCATTCGATCAGATAGGCATCCATAAATGCACATTCGCCCGAAAAAAAGGAAATTATATATTTGTAGCATTCGTTCAGCCACTGAAAAGAAGACAATCAATCCGCAAATCCATTCAAAATTAATTATTTAATTAATATATAGGCTGTGGCACAAATGCATTCGAGTTGAGTAGAGTAGAGTATTAGAGTAGGTTGAGTTCTTTGTGTATACTTTGAATGTACCTCCTTACTGCGTCCCCGTAAAATCTAAAAGTTGAAATGTGTGAATGTTGTTAAAGAACTTGGTTTTGTTCTCAAGAGTCGTAGTTTTTTTTCTATAATTTTTTTCTGGTGATTTGGATATTGTTTGAATAAAATCAAGAGAGAACATGAAGCTAAACAGACTATTGGGGGTACTAAAGACTACGAAAAGAGGCCGCCAATGGGAGAAACTCAGTAAAAACTCAACCAAAAGGACACCGAAGATATATATGTATATGTGGTATATATAATATAAGAACTGAAAACTCAAAACGAATTTACCCGACACTAAAAACAGTTGGCAAATGAGAATAGAACCAAACGTGAGTAATATAATTGGGATATAATTGGAATTATTTGAATATATTTCGATCCAGTTTCAACGGCTTCACATTTACTAATACATAGGATTACGATTTAGGAACTTTGAAAACATTAAGATATTCAAGAAATACGATTGCGATTATGGCAATGAGTAGGTATCTCCCCCTAATTGGCAGACTTACCCCGGGCGTGATCATCATCTGGATGGGCAGTCCCTTGGCCTGCGAGAGGTTATCGTCATCTGCCCCGCCCCCTTCACCGCCTCCGCCTCCTTCGGCGCCCTCCGATTCCTGGGTAACTGGTATATTACTGGCATTTGTGGCATTATTGGGATTATTGGCTGTGGTGGCCACAGCTGTTGCCGCACTCGAGGCGGCCACCATGGCCAGGTTATTGGCCACTCCCGAACTGGAGCCATTGGGGGCCTTTTGCTGAATCTGTTGCATCTGCAACATCTGTTGCTGCTGCTGTTGCTGTTGCTGCTGCTGCTGTTGCAACAGCAATGCCTGCTGCTCGCGGCGATAGCTCTCCATGGCCATCATCGAGGTCTGGCGGGCATTCGGATTGTCGAAGCTGTAGGGCGGCACTGCATCCTGCTCAGAGCTGGATCCACGTCGCTGGATTAAATGAAAGTTAAGATTAGTATAGTTTCTAGTAAAGTGATAAAGCACACACCAATTCAAACTACTTTTAGGGGGTTTTAGGTGGAGAAGTACTTACAACAAACGATTGCAATTTATGGGATGGGGAACCAAGGTAAATGGTTATTGGAATGGTAAATGGTTATACGTAGAACAAAGTACTTATTTGGTTTACTTGTGGGAATGGCCATACCTCAAACGCAATAAAAATGTATTAAATTTCCAAAGTATGTATGGAACTCCTATTTCTTAATACAAATTTCTATATATTTATATGTAAAAATTCTACATAATTTAACCAACGTTTTTGATAAAATTGGTATATTTTTTAGTTTTGTAGAGAATTTTATTACAAAAAATTATAAATCCAACATAATTTTATGTTTATCTTACTTAAAGATAATATTTTAATGGTATTTTTGTTAAATAAATTCAAGTATCATATTTATCAATATTTTACTAAAAAGGTGACCCCAACAACTGTATTTCTTATGCTATTCTTTCAGAAATATATTCTTTTGTATGAGATATCAAAAGAATTCATGAGAACACATCCTAGATCAAGTAAAAATTTGACGATTTTCCACGGAACCATATTTTTACGAAAGGTGACCCCAACATTTATATTTTTCATGTTATTTCTAAAGGAACTTATTTTATTGTTTATCATTCTATGAGATTTCATTAAAGATCGTGATAGTCCATAACAAAATTCTCCTATTCTCCGCGGAATCAGTGTTTTACAAAAAAGGTGACCCCAACAGTAATGTTTCTCATGACATTGCTGCAAAAGCCTTTTCATTGTTTATTATTGTATGATATATTATTAAATAACATGATAGCCCATGAAAATTTGTTCCTATCTTCCGCGTAATCAGTGTTTTACAAAAAAGGTGACCCCAACGGGGGATACTCCTTGTGTTATTCCTCTATAACGACTTACGTTGTGCAGGTTGGAGTTGCGCAGGTTGGCTACGTGGTCGTAGTTCTTGTAGCACCCGGTTCCGGTGGTGGCCGGGTTGCGTCCGCTGGTGGATTCGCCCTCGGTGCTGTTGCCGTCCGTTTGCGAGAGATTGTGGCCTGTGGGCGATCGGCGGAGCGCGTGGGTTAAACGGTGCCAATTTTTGAGTGATCGTGTGTGACTCTCGCGCTTTTCTGCTCGGTATCGGTATCGGTGTGAGTGTATCAGTGTGTTGGGTGTTTCAGTGTGGGTGGATGTTACGTGTTATCGGGTTATCATGTTATATGTTCAAAATCACGATCGTTTTATTTTGTTTTTGTATTTTTCGGGGTTCACGCAAAGAAGCCATGAATGCATTTTGTCGCCAGTTTCGTTTCGCATTTGTTTAGCCGACAGACGCCAGTTTGGATTGGTGGTACATATATACACAGGGTTATATATATTTCGTATATATATTAATGAATTAGAGCGGGTTTTGGATTTGTTTGAGGTTTTTTTTGTACGGAGCGCAAATGAAGGTGTTTTATTTTTGGTTTTTGATTTTGGTTTTTCGTTTCAAATCAAAAGAGGGAAAAAAGAAAGAAAAATGAGTTCCATGAATGTTTTATATTTTTCGCTATATTTTGGTTAATAATTGTTACGACGACGATGACGACGGCGACCACAAAAACGTTGGGGCTAAGTTAAGTTTAAGTTAAAGTTAAGTTTATATTGGGATACAGTGAGAACAACATTGAAGAACGACGTCTATGATTCAGTGTTAAATTTAGGGCTTACTCTTGAGTTTGTGATTAAATGGGTTAGAACGACATTTAGTTAACTGGTGATGCTAATGACTGATTAACACTATTAGAACTCTAGTTATAGTTAGTAGTTGTATTAAACTAATAGTTACATTTCTAATGAGAATAGTAGGAATTAACTGGAAACGGAAAGTCCTTAACTTTGACACAAAAGTTCATTAGTGAAAATAATGATAAGTCTCACATTAAAATTTAAATTAAGTTAGAGATTTAATATTTTTAGATTGTATATTTTACATAATTGAAGAGAATTAAAGAGAAAAATATTAGAATAATTCGGAAAGAAGATCTAATAAAACTTGGAGTTTTCTGTGGTGAAATCCCAATTATTAATATATAAATATTATAACCCACTTTGTGACAAATATTTAAAAAAACTTGTAACTATTTGTGATTTTTGTGAGTGTCTGAAATGGCAAGTGCTTTAAATGGACGCGGCAAAACAAATGTGCGAAACATTCTTCTCTTGGTTATTTAGTTATTCTTCTCAAATAGACAAATCTCAAATAGACAAAATTCCGATTCATGGTCATTTACGCCATTCATGTTCAGGTGTGTGATCTTGTATAATTAGACCGAAATGCGGAGAAAAAAGGTTAATGAGTGAAATGAAAAGGAAAAACAACTTCTCCTTGTGAGTCAATATGAATGGCGAGTAAAATATACCCCTTACTCTGGCCATTTCTGCATTCAAGGCTTGAATTCAAGCTTTAAACACCAAAATATATATGGATATATATACTTAGACAGTCATGGGTTGGCGGTATGTTTGGATTAGCTGGTTACAATGAAATAATACAGCGCAGTTGGGTTTTGGTTTTATTGCTAATTTTCACAGACACACAAAGTTGTTTACGGCTTTTTAACAGTAGTACACAAAAGTACGAGTACAGTACACAGTTATTCATTTGGGTTAGTACGATTACGAGTACGAGTACGAATACGAGTGAGTATATTCATATTCATATTCTTGTTCGCTATATGTTCTTGTTCGATCATACATGGCTTGAGCATAAAGAGAGCGTACACAGTTTCTATAGATTAGTTCATAGGATTAGAGCATGCAGCGCGTTAGATTGGATTTGGATTTAATTTCGGAACGGAAGCGTTTAAAAATGTGAAAACGAGGGGCGAGGACACACACACATATATATAATAAGGTTAGAGGTTAAGAAAATAAGGGGAAATGGAAAAATATTAAGTAAAAGGCACGTAAAGGCTTTTTTCTTTAATTTTTTTTTTGGAATGTCAGTCCGGTTTTATTCAGGATTTTATTTTTTTCAGGACTCTAGCTTCTTCGAGCGCAATGATAGAAATGTTTGAACTATGTGGGGAACTCAAGGCAAATCATAGGTAATCGTTCGAATATATCACACAAAAAAGGATTTGTATATAATTTTTTGTATATAATTTAGTTCGTTCGCTCAGCTCGCTTATTTTTTATTGGTATATGTTATGTTGGGCTTATACAATTTAACAAAACTTCAGCTGTTCTATCTTAAAGTATCTCTTTATATATGGCTGCAAACTAGGAGCAATTCGCTTTAAATAAGGCAATTTCTTTTGTTTTCCGTTGTGCTTCTTATGCGCTTTTTAGGAACGTATCGCCATCGTTTTTTGGTTTTCGCTAAGTTCTCTGTTTCTTTTTCTCTACATATGGAACGAGTATATGTATATTTCATTGGTATTACCTAATGCACGCTATAACGCCGATGCGCTCTCTAAATTAAAAACTAAGCTTACCCTCATCTTCTCACAGCTACAACAACTAATTTCATAAATAAGGCTTGCTCTGTTGTTGTTGTTCGTTTTTTGGATTTTTTCTATATCATTTTTGGTTTACCAACTCATGGCGACCACTTGAAGTGCTTGTATGTCCATGGAGGGAATAAATTTTATTTTCTTTTGACTAATGCGCTCGATAAATGCCTTCTTGGAGTTTACATAGAGGTTAGGCCTAGTTAATCGCTAAGATTTAGACTAAATCAAAATTGTGCTTACGCGGATTGTATTTTCAGAGTTTTTCAAGCTCTCTCGAATATATGGCGTGTTGTGTTAGCATATCTCATATTTTTTCTGGGGTTGGGTCTCACATGGAATGGAATGCGGTAATTCCTGGAAGATATTTCGCTCACACACACATGCTGCCACACCCACCGCCACTACTGCAAATCACATTTGGGGTACTTGAAAGTTTTGCGTTTGGAACCAAATGGATATAGATATATAGCAAAAAACTGGCCAGGCAATCGGTCATCGAAATAAAGTTGCAACAAAAACTGAGGAGAACATCAGCAAATTTGAGCGGATCTTCATTTCGTTTAGGGCTTTAAATTTTATGTTTTTTTTTAGATTTATTTTCAAGTGCTGATGGACATTAGCAAAACTTTCAATATACGATAATATACGATGAAGCATACGCCTTTTGTTTTTGTTTTTGCATCTAGCTCTTACACACAATACAAATTTATATGAATGTAAGAGTTAGGTAAAATAATACAGTAATAATATCTTTAAAAATAAAAAATTATAATGATGCAATAAAGAAAAAAATGGAAATATTTTTAATATTGGCCCTCAAAAATGGATAAATATTCCTAGTAAAAGAGAATACATAAAAATACTTTCTTTAAAACAAAAATATTTTAATATTTGCCTTTAAAAGAAAGACAACAAATTTTCGCTTATTTTCTCTTATAAAGAAAATAATACAAAATTGTTCTAATATTTTTCTTTATTGCATCTAACTCATAAAAGAGATAAAAAAAACATAAATAAACTAAGGCAACGTGGCGTATGCGCAATGCATAATTACGGGTATTTAGCAGCAGCGCGTGTGTGTGTGTGACAGCGTGTCTGTATGAGTGTGAGTGTCTCGTGTGCTTGTGTGTGTGTATGAGGGCGCCTAAAAGCAGTTACATTTAATCACAACATTCAATTGGAAAATAAATCAAAAATGGAAGTACACAATTCATTTGATTTCTGATTTCTGATTGATTCGAAGCTTCAAAGCAAGCCTACGCATTTTGGGATAACTGCTAACCTTCTTCTTATGTTTTTTTGGAAGTTCTTTCGCTTAAGTCTAGGACTCTTGTGTGTGTGAGTGATTCGTGTGTGTGTGTTTGTGTGAGGGTGTGTTTGTAACAAATTGCATTTGTTGTTTCGACTAATTTACATATACATTATAACAATCGCCTGTCATTCTCTTAGCTAATTTCGCTTAGTGTAGATTGTTGTTTTCTTTCTTTGGGTGTCTGGTTGTTGTTGCTGTGGATGCGCGCGGTTTGCCAGCGATTTGGGGGCTGGTTCAACGGCTGTCTTCATTGTCACTGGAGCTGTTCTGCTGCTGGGCATCCCGCTCCTCCAGCAAACTGCGATTCAGCTCCTGGATTCTCGCCGAGAGGGCGCGACGACGGGGCGTGCCAAATGAGGGCGGCGGTGGCGCCTCGATCAGCGTGTTTTTCTCGCCTAGGTTTAAAACCAGCCGCATTTTATTTAAAAAACATTTTTTTTGTATTTTTTTTTTATGTGTATTTAATTTTTTTTTTGCAATTTTCAATATTTGTATATGTGGTGTGTAAAAATGTTTTGGGGTTTTGAAATGTTCGATAAGAAATGTTTGTCGTGATTAGAAAGTAGAAAAAGAAGAGCAGAGAAAATGGAACACGTTGTAGCTAGATATTTTGAAGACTAGTATTTCTGGGCTTATAACCCCATAACGACTTCGATTCGCTAAATTACAACTACATTTTGGCTAAGAGAATGAGCATATACATCATATGGTTTCATGTGTGTTTGTGTATTTTTTTATAATTGTATGTAATCAGCACTTGAAAATTTTCTAAAAATGTTTGTTGTATTTATAATAATTTTTTTGTTTTTTCATTTTTTTTTACATTTGTCGATTAAGTTCAAAATGGTAAACTCTATGTTGAGCATTCAAATTTGCTATGACTGTGGCGGTAGTAAAAACGAAAATCAAGCAATGAGAGTAGCAAAATGTCATCATCATAATTCACAATTCTGGGCAAATGTCCAACAGAAGTCAGCAATTAGGCAAACTCAATTTAACTGAAGGCAAACTAAAACCGAACAACGCAACAAATTGCAACAGCAATTGCCTAGCTAATCACTAGATCCTTCGGCTATATATACAGGACGAATCTTGGGGGCTTTCTATATATATATACTTTGGATTGCAGCTGTGCGGGGCGAGATTCGGGGGTTTATTTATAACTATATAATTAAATCCCATGGTAGAAAATTTTCGACTATACTTTACTTACATAATTTAATAAAAAATGTGTGTTTTTTAGCTACTAAATAATTGCAAATTCTAGTTTTATAAAGTTAAATGTAAATATGAATTATGAATATGAGTAAATTGTTATTAAAGTGTAATGATTTACTAAGAATTCCATTTACAATTCTAATAGTTTGGAATTACAAAAATGAAATATATTTTATTAATTTTATTAGATAGTATATAAATTCTATTATTCCATGGAATTTAATTTATATAAAAATTTGAAATGGTAATCGAAAGGAACAAAAAATATTTCCCTATTCCTAAAATATTTAAATACCTATTATTTATTTACTTATTATTAATTGGTTTCATAATTTGATCTACATTTTACCAATTTCTCTTCTCAATTCCCTGGACAGCTGCAATGGCCTATCTTCCACTTAGCAAAAGCTAGATTAAAGCTAAAAGCCGTGTGGATTCTCTCCCTGCACTAAGCTATATATAAATCTTTACTATATCTCGATAAATATACCAAAATACACTAAGAGAAAAAGAGAGAACTCCAGAGGAAGGGAGAGAGAGTGTGCGAATATAGGTATTATATATAGTATATGGTACAATATAGTGTGTAGCTGTAGTTGGCGCGTGTGAGAGTGTGTGTATCTGTGTTTCGTATCCGTGTGTGTGTAATTTTCTAGGGGCTATTACTCAAAAGCGATTATCAAAGGCTACGGCTGCGGATTTAATAGAGTTTAATAATACGAGTTGTTTTTGTTTTTAGGTGGCTAAAAAAAACGGTGGATAGGCTAGGCTACGTATACGCAATGTAGTCGGTAGTCACCTGGGGCGCTTTGCACATCGAGGGTCTGCCTGCCTATATTGGGGGTGCTTTGTCTTTTACCCTTCGGATGCACGACATTTGTTTGCTTGCCTAAAATAAAACACAGGTCGGAGGGTTGAGAGGTTGAGAGGGTTAGGGATTGTCGGTTGTCAAAGGGGGTCGCCAGTTTCCATTGCCTACTTCTAGGCGCGCGCGCTTTTTGTACAGCAAAGGGTGTAGAAAGATTTCTCGGGGGTTTTTTTTGGGGGGGTTCGGTGGGGTATGTGTGCTTTGTACAAGTGAAAACCCCACTAATTTCCCGTTTAATGCGCTAAGTACAAAAGCATTTGCCTAATTGACCATTATCGTGTGACGCTTGGGGTGTTCTTTTCTGTATTGTAGGGGATTATTGTGGGTCTAAAGGTCTAGAGGCTACTTAAGGGAACTTAAGAGTAACTCAAATAGCTTAACTAGTTTACAATTGATCAATCGAACGTAAATCTGAGCTCGGAATAATCAACGGTTCAACAATTTCTATCATCTTACGGCTCAGCAGTCGCTGATTGCTATTTACACGCCTCTAGGCTGGATTTTAGATACAGCTTGTTAACCGAAAAATCGAAAAAGTTAAACCAATCTGAACTGATAGTGAGAAGAAGCCAGGAAACTGAAAAAGAGTTCATGCCAAAAGTATACAAAAATATTAAAATGAGCACTTAGACGGCTAACGCACAAGACTACACAAGAGTAAGCAAAGTTTAAAGGGATGGGGATATATAGGGATTTATAGGGATGTACACAGAAAATATGGGATATTAAAATTAGATTAGATTTGAAATATGTAAAATAAATTTTATTTTATGATCACTTGTTTCATTAAAGAGAATTAACAATTCATTATTTAAAAAAAAATATTTTATTAAATATAATAAATATTTACTTATTCAAAAATTATTTTAAAAAATCCTTGTTAAAAGTAAACACTTAAAATACATTTATTTCAAAGGAATTATTTTTGGATTTATGTTTTTTGATGATAATAAAATATCTTAAATAAATCCTTGTTAAAAGTAAATACTTAAAATGAATTTATTTTTTATTAATTTTTTTAATGATAATAAAATTCGTTACATAACATCCTTTATTTTCTGTGTAGTTACTATAGTTATAAGTGGATAGATAGTAAGCATAGCATGAGGCGCTGAGATCGTTTTAGCAGATCCCATTTTCAGTCGGCTAGTTAAGTAGTAGTTTAGTAGATACGTAAGCAAGGCACATTCCTTATAGATAGAAAGCCCAGGAAATACATCTTACCTGTGTCGACAATCACATCGATGAGATCCATGGACTTGGCGAAGGCGTCTTTCAGATTGATATGATGGAAGGAGACAATGCTGCCCTCGCGCTTGGCACGATCGAGCGCCTCGCGACGCTTGAGGGCCTTCTCGCGGCGCATCTGATTCTTATAAAATTCAGCAAAATTGTTAACGATGATGGGAATAGGCAAAGCGATTACCAGAACACCGCATATGCAACACACAGTACCAATAACCTTTCCCAGTGCAGTTGTGGGATAGATGTCCCCGTAGCCAACAGTTGTCATTGTAATACCCGCCCACCAAAATGTTTCCGGTATTGAAACGAATTTTGTATCCTTTTCATCCTTTTCGGCAAAATATGCCAGCGAAGAAAATATGAGAACGCCCATGGCCAGGAACAGCATTAGTAGACCGAGTTCCTTATATGAGTTACGCAGCGTAAAGCCTAACGACTGCAGGCCCGTTGAGTGACGGGCCAGCTTAAGGATTCGCAGGATGCGCATGATGCGAAAGACCTGCACCACCCGACGCACATCCTGGAACTGGTCCGTTGCATTCTTATTCGTTTCCAATAGAAATAACGAAACAAAGTATGGGAGTATTGCCAATAGATCGATTATGTTCAAGCCGCCCTTAAAGAACTTCCACTTGTCCGGCGAGGCGCTAAACCTAAGTATGTACTCTAGAGTGAACCACGTGATACACACGGCCTCAACCATTGCCAATTGCGGATTATCCTGTGGTGTACCGTTGTCAATGTGTTGTAGTTGTGGTAGGGTGTTCAACGTCAGGGCTATGGTAGACAGGACTATGAATAGTATGGATATCACTGCGATAACCTGCGAACGGTAAAGAACAATCGAGACTTTGTCGAGACCATGATTCGATTTTTTGAGATTTTTTTTTGTTTTTGATATTTTCAATGCAAATCACAACGATAATTAGGTAGGGTATTTAATATTTTCTTTGGTAGGCACATCATAACACGTTACGTTCATTCAATATCAAATATCTGTCTTTAATACATATCTAATTATTTTTTTGGTTTTTTAAAACACACGGTTACAACAATCAGCAAAGTTCTCAGTTCGAGTTCACTTTGATTCTGTTTGACTATCTGATTTGTATTTGTATTTTTATGGGGTTTGGTTGGTAAGTAAACATTCTGTTAGAGTTCTGGTCTCGAATCAAGCTTTATCTGGGGGATTTGGTTAGTCGAAACTGGGTTCTGTTATTCAAATCGTTTCATTTTTGGGCAGGGGTTTCGTTGGCTGTCCTAACCGCTTTTTTCAAAGGCTGCTGTACTATATGTGAAGTATATATTTATTCGTCGTGAATCCTTCTTCGTCGAAAACAAACCATAAAGTGAAATCAAAGGTTGGGTAACAAACGAAAACACAGAAAAACGCAAAACATGGGTTGGGTATATTATATTATTTGATCCTAAGGGCCGGTTTCTCGAGTGCCGGCTAACATTTCTCGAACAGATAAAGTCCCTGCTAAGGAATTTAGGCTTTCTCGTGCATAAATGTGAGAGCTAACTTCAACAGGGACTCGGAGTCCCTGTTAAGCGTTTTCGGCTCGATAGAATGACAGCTGATTTCCCAAAGCCAACTATGAAGAAGAAACGAAATCACAGTTGACTTTTCCTTTGAATTATACCCAAACAGCTGATGAAATAATCGAAGCATGCCATTTCTTGCACTTTACAGTGCGTTAACAGCACTCTGTAATTGTTTCTCGTTCAGATAAATTAAAGCAGTCGAGAAAGCGGATTTGGTTTTACGAACAGTTTATCTGGTATTTAAGTTTTTCGAACAGATAGCTATCAGGGACTTTGACAGGGACTCGAGAAAGCGGCCCTAAGTCTCGAAGTTTTCAAAAAGGGGTCTCTAGTCTAGATCAACTCTTTCTCTGGTTGGGTGTAAGTGTAAGTGGTTGGGTGGTGAGTGGTAAGTGGTAAGTGGTTGAGTGGTTCTGAGGTAAGTGGTTCTGTGGTAAGTGGTTCGTGGTTCGTGGTTCGGTGGTGTGCGTGTGGTTATAGTTTTTGCTGTAGGGTTACTGTATGTGTGAGTTCTTTTGTTGTGGGGACAGATCACATGACGCAACACAAGGACATAACACACCTACATACATATCAGCTATACGTGTGTGTGTCTCTAATTGGTTCTATTATGGTATGAGGGTGAACCAGGGGGGGCACTCCGTCGTTAAATAAGAGACGCTACCCTTGGGGTCTGCAGTCGACATTATCAATTATCATTATTATAACCTTATTTTCACTATAGCCTATATATTATCCTCAGAAATCACCGATTGTTACGCTCTTTCGCTGTTTCGTGTATTTTGTTTTTTGGGTCTGACTTGTTTTCTCTTGGAAAAAATAAGGTTTAGAAACTGAAGAGGTTCAAAATTGATATGATAGTTCTAGCAAATGACGAAAGGAAGAAATCCAAATCTAATTTTAATTTAAATACAAATTCAAATCCAAATGCATAACTTTCGTACCAAACGAGCTAGGAATTACAATTACGAGATAGGGTTTCCAAACCAAATTAAAAATGAAATCAAACTAGAAATTAGAAATCGGAATTCGCAAGTCTAGGCCCATCGAAATAATTGCATCTGTCACGGAAACACACAAAATAAGCCGTGAAATTATGCATTTATTTGCGGACCAAATGGATTCGATTCCACTTTCTCTCTTTGTAAACAAACGCACTTAAACAATTTTAATTGCTTGGCTCTAAATAATACATTTAATTTACCAAAAACTGCCAATTGCAGAGATTGAAGTGTTTGGAGAAGGGGCGAGGGGGTAGAAAATGGATTTGTCTGTCAGAAATGCAGAATTTCAATTGCGATTTCAATGCCATTAGGTCAAATGGCTTCGTATCGTATTCCGAAACTGAATTGTTGGGGGAAGAGGGGGGTTCTTATGTGGTGTGGGTGGAATGTTGGGTGTTTCATGTGACTGACATTCGAAGAGGGGTTCAGAGATAGAGATAGAGAGTGAGAGAGATAGGTTGAACATCTTGGACATGCCACGCCCCCAAAGTGGTATGCATAGATAACTCTGTGAGTGTCCAGATCTACCATAGTAGGCCACTGTACGCAACCACGCAGTTCTGGTTTCGGAAACGGAATCGGATTTGGGTTCGGAATAGGGGATATCGGATATTGGATATTGGATAATGGATTGGGAAAGCTGAATTTCACAGTTCTGCTTCGTTGGATGAGCTGACTTCTCTATAGTATGGCTTATATGGCTTGCTACGTATAGATACAAAAGTTAAAGATACACATTATGCAGTTATTAGACAAAAGATACATAGTCAAGAAGGAGTCATTACGTTAGGACAAAATGAAACGCACTAAAGGATACACAAACTAATGGAACCAAAGTAAAAACTAAAGAAGGAGAAAAGAGAAAACATTTGGATGGTGCTAGATAGCAACGATGAGAAGTAGAAGGAGGAGTGGAATAAAGTCAAAGTACAGATACTAGTTACTAGATACTATATAGTTAAGATACAAGTGCGAGAGGGCACGCGAAGGGGTTTAGAAATATAGAAAGAGATAGGGGGTTTTGACATACAGATATATGGGTTCATAGAGTTAGGGGTTGGTTAGAGGAAGATGTTCTTGAATTGAAGTGGTCTTGGTCTTCAAACTGTCAAACTTCGGGAAAGTTAATTAAATTTCCATAGTTATTTTCGGTGGGGATTTTTGGGATTGAGCGGGGTTTTCAACAATCTACTTGAGATGGTGGTGAGGCTTTACAAACAAATTCACTTTCGATTCTTCGATTTCGATTTCGCTTTCGATTGAACAGAATGCATTGGAGTTAAGTTTCGTAAACAAAAAAAGTATTTGTGTGCGAATTATCACTTTGGCATACTGTAGTTTTGGATTTTGGAACTGCTACCATTGCTGCTCAGTCATGAAGGTGGTTTGAAGGGGTTTTGAAGGGGTATGGAAGGGGTTTTCGCTGGGTTGAAAACTAAACATGATATCGCAATACTCCTAGCTGGCTTACTTGATCACAGTATCTCCTCCGGTGGGGAAATCAACTCAAAAGTTAAACTGAAAATGCTCTAAACTCACAGCCACTACAAAGTTCAAAGCGTAGCGAGTCGCCAAAAGCGGTTTCTGCTGATTGAGGCCTACAAAAATCAAAATTCTTCTATAAAGCCGCTGACAACAGAGCCACAAGATGTACAAAAAAAATAGATGAAGCGAGAAAGGAAGCCGAAAGTCGGTGGTCCGATCTTTAAGGATACTTTTGCAAAGTTTTAAGACCTTAAATTAATATTTTAAATAAATAAGATACTTTTTAATGAATTACTATTTAATTAATTATTAAATGAACAATTTTTTTAGAGGTTTTATATTTTTATAAATTAAATATTTAAGTTAATTTATGGTTATATTTTCTTTAGCCATCTCTTACGGACAAATCGGAACCTTTGCAGTCGCATCAAAAAGGAGAACAAATTTGAATTAACTTCCCTGAACCTGGCTGAAATCCACTTGAATTACAAGTCATGAAAAGTCGATGGATAACAGAACAAGATCTCAGGGTTTTTGAAGCAAAGTGAGGAGAAAGGTAAAGGTGACCAGTGAGAAAGAGAAGTGATGGGCTGAGGTGGTGGTGGTGGAAAACAAATAAGGACAAAAAACAGTCAAAAAACAATTCATGCGACAAGAAAATCGGGGCAAAAGAGTTTCGTCTTAAGGATATATTGAGATATATGTGATAAATATACAAATTTACAAAGGTTTACAAAGGGCACTCATCGCAATCGCTGTACATACAAAACTAAATCTAGATCAAAAAAGGGTAAAATTCACTTCCGATGAATACCAAAACTAAAAATCACATTCAATTTAAAATTCGTAAAATAGGGGAGTGCAAAACTTTGAGTTTTTTTGCTCAGTGTCGGCGTGTTTTAGTGTGTGTGTGTGTATATCTGTGTGTCAATGGGAACTGAGTTCCGGCTAAAATATTTGATCAGGTTTGCATTTGGTTCACGTGGAGTGTTTTTTTACGGGTTGTACGTTTTGTGGTTTCGGTTTTTTGGTTTTTTGGTTTGTTGGGGTGTTTTTTGGGCGGGTGGGGAAGTGGGTGGTTCGTTTTCGGTGGGTGCATGAGTTGGTTCGCATACTTTGTTCGACTCACTAAAAAACAAACAAAATTCGATACAAACGGCTATAGAATTCAGTACGAATCGACTACGAAATTCTATACTAGTGGCATTCAAATGCAGCAAATTTGGTGGGTTAATATTTCAAGTAGGAGATTTTGTTCGATCGATATATAGTTTGGTTACGGGTCTCGTGAACCGAAAATCAAAAGACTAAACTAAAACTGAAAACCAAACAGAGACGATGAATTTTTCATTTATATTTTCTAGGGGTTTGAATGGAAGATAGTTCTCTGATTTAAGGCTGATTTAAAAGAGGGGGAACTAAGACTTCGAAGACACCGTAGACGTTTCTCCAAGTGTATCATTAGTGTTTGTGTGTGTGTGTGTAAGTGTTTTTGTTCAAGTGTCGGAATCAAAGGTAATCAAAGGTCCAAATAGTTACAAAGGAATTAGGTTAAAACACAATAACAACGAGAGTTAAATAAATTTCTTCCTTATGCAATACACACGAGATTACAACATGACATCAAATATATAGGAAAAGAATACGAGGGTTTATATACGACATACATACGATATATATGTACATATATCATCGCCAATGGAAAGGAAAAGATCAACACAAAAGGCAAACAACTGAACAACAATTTGGATATCATATTTTCCATTTTCGTTATTGTTGTTTTTTTCGGTGTACAAATAAAATAAACGTTTTTGAATATTTTTGGAGTATTTTTTGCGGGTATTTTCTGTTTTTTGTTTGTCTTGTGAGCGCGCTTTGGTTTCTTGCTGAGTTGTTTGTCGCTTTCAACGAGGCGAAGATATCAACTGAGGTTGAGTTTTCTAACTGCTTTGGTTATTAGATCAGAGCTAGATATTTGTTGGTTCTCATATTTATCATTTCGTTGAAAAAAGGATGTGTTTAGGCGTGGTATTAAAAATAAACAAAAAAAGTACAGAACTAAAAATCTTAGTTAGTTTCTTCTTATTCTCTCTGACAGAAAATCGAGTTAGTTGTTGAAGAAAGAACATAAATAAAAATACGATAAAAGTACAACTGGCAAAGGGCTCTGGAAATTTTTCATTACCTTTTTAAGGGAACCAAAAAGTTTAAATAAAAAGTGGAAAGTTTAAATAATAATCTATATGGAATGATCAAATCTTTCGAAAATCTAAATAAGGTTCTAGAAATTTCTCGGAACACATTCCATATATTTAATAAAATAATAAGAAATTATAAGTTGCAGAACCTAAATGAGTTTCAAAATAAAAAGTACATAATTCAAATAAAAAGTGAACCGAAAATCGAATGAAAAATTATAGGAGATGCACCCAAAAATGTTGTAATTATTTCCATTCTCCCACCAATATTCTTGGTTAAAGCCAAAGCTAACGCAATAAATCGGGGCAAATTATCGGCTGTATAATACAAGCTAAAGCTGAGATCTTTTTGAGTGAGTGTGGTTTTCGATGGTGATATTTATAGATGTGTGTGCCCGGGTCCTTATAGCTAAAATATTTGTATGGTACAAGGACAGTCAGAATAGAGGACTTTAAAGTCCCTTGAAATATTCTGATCTGACCTAGAAGCCTAATTGAATTTTTCCCCCTAGCACATGGAAAATGGAAATGTATTACAACACCGCTTTGGCCACTTCTCCCCAGAGTCCTTTTTCGTTACAATATTTTCGAGGATTTCTACAGCACACCTGCCGCCTGGTCATATCGCTTATTGCCCATTCCCAAACATGGTTACAATGGGGTAGTTTGGGGATTGGTTTTTTTGGGAGATAACATTAGAGATAAACAGAGAGAGATTACTTCACCATCATCATCAACAATTAAGAGATATACGTATTAATAATATTCAGAGTAGATATAAATAGTTTATATATATGTTGTAAGTTGTATGTATACAGGGCTTGTCAATTTCGCAATTAAACTGTGTGTGATGTAGAAGAGACTGGATTAGAGAAACGATTAGTAAACAATTTTGGTTTGCTCGATCAGTACTGGCTTGATCTTTTCAGCTAATGGGAACTCTCTGGGTGTCGTCGCGTGTTTCCTTTACTAAGACTCGAACTAAAACTGAAACTCGAACTAAAACATAGAATGCATCTTAGCCTAAAAGAGGGGGTTGTGGGATTGGTTAGGCGAAAGCGGAAAAATAATAATACTTTAATTTAAAATGGTGCCGAAAACTCTTCATCTATCGTTATAGATTCTTCTCTTTGAGCGGTTACTCTTCTCTTAACTCCGTTCGATGGAAGACTGTCCTGTCCGATCTGTACGATACATGACACAAAAGCTTGAAGCACTTCGATATGGGGATTTACACATGAGATCAGCCGTATATGTACAAGAACACCGATGTGGATCCCAGGGGATCTGCGCGCCAAGCAGCGGGATATATATTTAAGTAGCTAGGCGATATATCATCACATCATATGGTACAGATAGCTGGCGGACATTCGAGTAACGAGTAGCGAGTAACCAGTAACGAGTAACGATTAAAGTATCGATTATGTATCATTTCTTATCGGAGTGCAAGCATATTATCGGTTTGGTCGCAAAAGCAAGTGATGAATTTGGCAAGATTTTTACAGCATTGAGAGTGGGTTTACATATTATTTATAGAGAGAGTAGAGATAGTTATGTTGCTGTTATTCTTACACTATTTGGTACTCTGATCTGCTCGACGGCTGAGTTATATCATACAGAGTGCAAGAGAGCTGGCGATAGTGTAAAAATAATAGTGACTTTGCACAGAACCAAAGTTCAACTACATAAGAGTAACTCAAGAGGTAATCAAGAACTCAGAATATAAGTTGGGGGAATTTCGGGATTATATCGGGAGTTTTCGGGTTATCGAGAACTAAAGGGGGTTTCTTACGCTTGACATTGACACGGTTCACAGTTCAACGGTTAGAAACACAATACGAACACATCTATGAGAATATTTGGGGGGTTTTGGAGGGAGGGATTTTGGGATTGGGGGAAAAAAGATTATCGATATGAAATTTTTTTAAAATAAAATAGATTTTGAAGATATTTAATGTCTCAATATTTACTCATTTAAATGGTTTTATTTATCTGTACAGACAAGATCTTGAAAATTAATTATTAAGATACTGCGAAAATGAGAATATATATTTGATCAATTTATAGACAGAAAAATTATAAATCATTTATATTATTGATAAGAAATACTTTGAAGATATGTTTCATCTTGAAATCCCTTGTTCTGAAAGATATATTATGTCTTGAATGTATACTACTTTTTGAAGAAATTAATTATTGTATGCTTATAATATAAGCTAAGAAAATAGATTACATTCCTTTGTAATGAAAAAATCTGTTATAGGTTTAGAACCGAATATTTGGAGTATTTGGATATTAAAAGATATTATTATATCAAAAGAGATATTATCACTATGAATATCGATACCTTCTTCCCCCGTTCAGGTTTTTTTTTAGGGTATATTAGGGACTTTCGGACTCTATAGAATACCTTAAGGTCGGGTCCACCGACTGGACTTACCCGGGCGGCGAAGCTGGTGTTCGGCTTCTCGAGCAGCTCCCACAGATACTTCTGGTACTCGGCGCATTTACCTTCGCCGAACTCCTCCTCGTCCCTCTGCCTCAGGGACTCGGCCTCCTTGCGCATCTCCTCGTGGACGTTCTCCTTGCGCTGATGGTACTTGTGCTGGCAGCAGGACTCCAGGTACAGTTCGTCCACACCCCAGTACTCCAGGTCATCACTAAACGCGAGCACGCACATCTCGTCGACGATGTGCAGCTTGCCGGTGCGATAGAAGTTGAGGATGGAACTAAAGCTCTTCGGGTGTCGATCGAAGAAGTACTCGTTGTCCGCCAGCGAGTAGTCGTCGCACAGCTCCACGATGGCCTCGTGGGTGGTGCACTCCCTCAGCCGCCCGAGTCGCGTGTGTGGCAGCCGCTCGAGCGTTCGCCACAACACCTCGTGCCTCACCCCGCCCACGTTGATGGACACGCGGCTATTGACCGCCTTCGACTGGGCTATCATGAACGGCTCGGGCGGCGGTATGGAGGACATGGATCTGGAATGTGTCCGCTGCAGGGCGCCGGTGGTTGGTACGGAGGAGGCTGGTGGACCACTAGCTCCTCCGCCGGAAATGGATTGACTACCTTCGCCTGGACCACCGACGACCCCGCCGCCACCCAAGATGCTGCCAACGATCTGCTGGGAGGTTGTGGGAATCGAGTGCGTTGGTGATGCGACTGGGAATGGGGCGTAGCGAACTTCCTTGCCTGCTGCGGGGGGTCCTCCTCCTGCAGATCCTCCTGCTCCTGCAGATCCTCCTCCTCCTCCCGATAGCGATACACCTCCTCCAGATAAACCGGCGGATGGCAGAGCAGGATGGCCGCCATCAGCGTAATCCAGGTGACGTGCGGCATTAGCTGGCCCAAGGTGATAAGCAGCATGGCCAGCTGCTGGCAGAGATCCGATGCCGAGGCCACCATATGCACCAGCTCCACCGGCTCCCATCGCCCGCTCCCAATCGACATTGCCGCTTGTATCGTAGTACGGCTGATTATCGCCGATGTCGGCAGGTGTTGCAGCCGCATTCTGCAGTCCGCGTGCAATTGCAATTGCCTCGTTATGTTGCTGATACAGGATGTCTGCCTGTTGCTGCTGCTGTTGCTTGTGTTGCTGCTGTTGCAGTTGCTGTTGCTGCTGCTTTTGTTGCTGCTGCTGCTGCTGAGTCGCTTGTTGCTGTTGCTGATGCTGTTGTTGCTGGCCAGCAGCCTGTCCACCTTGCAATTGCCCGACCATTTGTAATACTCCATTATTGGTTTGAAGCGGTGTTGATTCACCCGTTGCCCAGCGTACCGCCTCACGGTCCCTGTCGCGTTCGCCGACCATAAGTCTGCTGCAAATGGGAAAAACAGAGATTTATTAGCCACTAAAATATCGAGTTTTTAGTTTCCTCTAAGCCTTTGAAAACAGAGATTTATTCTTCAGGTAAATAATTTGATTTTAGTTGCTTAGAAGCTATTAAATTTAAATTAAAAACGAGTAACGGGTATAATAAAATATCGCTCTTTTATTACAATAATAAAAATTTTAATAATATTAATATATCAATTTACAAAAGAATTTATATTTGATTAAAACTGATGAGGAATTTGTAGAACTTTTTAACTTACAAAATTTGTGTACTTAAAGAAGTTAGAGAATTTAAAAATTAATAATTACTGATGAGCAATTTTTAGAACTGCTTAATTAAAAAAATTAGATTACCATTTAATGGGATATTTATAAAAAGAGGTTAAATTTATTTTTAATTGTTTTTTTTTTTTTATACACTTTTTTTTTTTAAATTGGTGAAACCACATACAAATTTTTTTTAAATTTGTATCACAGTTCAGCGAATGTAAAGAATATTCTCCAGATTAAAGAGTAAAGTGTCTAAAGACTCACCGCTACATCGCGTCAATTGTCGTCATTACAGCCTCCGTTGGCGAATGTGCTGCTTCTGTGGCCGATGTCCGCTGTTCGTTCCTTTTCCTCTGCCGATTGCTATCGCCGGGGCAATTGATTCCGATTTCCGGGCCCCGGTATTATCTGCGGATCTATAAATCGCTCAGTTGCGGTCTGCTGGCAGGCTGCTGGCTATGGCTGTGTCCCCCGATTCCCTCATCTTTGGCTGTGGCTCTGCTCTGGTTACCTCTCAGTTTCCCGGCTCGTTGTTATGTCTATGATCACAGTTGTGTTCTGGTTCTGGCCCTTGTTCAGGTTGAGATTGAGATTTGAGGCTCAGGCGTGGTTTGGCAGCATTTTGTGGGGGCAATAGCTGCAATTTATGGCCAGAGATAAGAATGGAGGGCAATCAGTAAAATTCGCTTATTGGATAGCAATTATATCTAACCGCATATCGATGGCTGATAAGCCGCGTAAATACCAAGCACCTTAATTATGCGTGCCGAGTAATCAAACACTCGGCGGCACAGTGGGGTCTTTATTATATTAATTTAGTAAAATATTTTCTATTTAGGATTGTTTTGTTATTAACAAAATTAAATAGGTGATAAAATCTAATGGTGTTAATACCATTTCAAGTATCACAATATTTTATTTAAGGGTTGACGAAGATAATATTTATAATTTTTAATTAAATATGTATTTGTCATATGCCTGACCATATCTCTATGAAAACCTACTAAAATTTTTCTTCAAAAATAAATTAAAATTTAAAATAATACGAATAGGGATAAAATCTTAATTACAAAGAATCTTTTTCGATTCGAAATACCAAAAATGTTTACTTGCGATTAAAAAGTGCTAAGCTGATAGTTCAACCCATTTCCATTTCGAGGTCACCGCCTGCGTTTAACCCATGAATCACTTTCCCAGAAGCCCTTTTATTGAATCGGGCTATTTAAAGCGGCCACGCCCACTGTGCTTGTGGGCAATGAATCAATAGTTGCGGACAACTGATAAGATAGCGAACCAATCACTGGGTGCGGTTTTCCCCCCTTCTTTCCACTTCCATTTCCACACCGACTCGGCGCTTTATTTGTAGCATACATTTCGGGGCTGTGGAAACTCTGTGGCAATTATCGCATAATTGCGTATGCAAATGAATGCAATTGTTTGGCGAATTCGAGGCCGCTTCCTTTTATTTATTAGCGTTAATTTGCAATCGCCAAAGGCTTTGGGCCCTTTGCATTTAAATGCCTATTTTTGGTTCCGTTTTCCTTTCGCCCATTTGGCCTTTGCCCAGATTTCTGGCCCTATGATTCAGTTTCTGCCGCATTGCAATCAAATTTGAATTTTTACGCCCCGCCGGAAATGGCAAGTAATATGCCTAACGGTCCGCGAATTTCTAGCAAATGGATTGCCATGCGTAGAAAATATGTTAGCTGACCTCGCGAACTGCAGAGTCGTTCAAAAACGTCTTCATTTCGTATTCATTCCCGCATTCGTATTCATTTCGGGGCCCATGTGAATACCCATTCGCATGCAGATTGCTGATTTGTGCGCCACCTGTCACTCTCGCTGCCCTTTCACCTCTTTCACCTCCACTTTCACCTCTCCTTTCAACTCGCGTGCCAGGGGTCAGAGTTCGCGAGTTATTGTTATATGACTGCGACGCAAATTATATAGTTTTGTTGCATTTTAGTCCGACTAAATTGTTGTTTATTAGCTCCATCCACCGTCAAGTGGGCACTCGTACTGGGAGTTATGTAATTGCCGAATGGCAGTGGCAAAGCTCGCGAGCAATCACATTTTTGACAACATTTCTGGCGAGTTTGAGTTTGCATTTAAGGGGAATGATTTTCTGAGGGATATGATGAAATTGTAGGAAATGAGGTAAAAGGATATGTGGGATTTAACAAAAAACCAGGGACTGAAAATAACTGTTATTGTAAATTTTTCATACAAAAAAATCGAGCACTTAGAAGGGTCCTAAAAATTTTTTAAATACGCCACAATTTTTATTAGCCATTGTAGTTTACAAATCCGTAATGATTTTTATTTTTTGATTTTTATAATAAAACTCAAAAAATAACAGTTATTTTTTGATTTTTATGAATAACAGTTATTCCCTTGACATTTTTGAAAAAATGAAATAATTGAAAAAAACATGATACCCGTGCTTTATAAAGCTTACTAAAAATTTGTTAAAAAAGGCAACCGCGCATATTTTATACCTATATTTTTTTTTACATTTTTTTTACCCACAAAATCGCCATAAATCAAGTTTGAGTTTTATTTTTGATCACGACGAATAACTGTTATTTGTCAACTTTTATTATAAAACTCAAAAAATAACAGTTATTCTTTGAGTTTTACTTTACAAATCAGAAAATAACTGTTAAAGTGTGATTTTTAAAATAAAACTTATAACAGTTACGTTCCCTGCAAAAAACAAAAACTCTTTATAATAAATATTTATTTATTTTTAAATAAGTATTATTTCCTTTTTTTTATTTAAATAAATTTGTAAATAGGAATAATTTGTAATGTAATTTTTTTTTAATCCACATAAATATTTATTTAAAAATCCATTTTTTCTAGATTTAAACCCCTTTCTCTTTTTTCTTTCTTGACCCAATTTTCTAACAATTTTTTTACTAAGGTTGCGTACATTTTTTTTTAAAACAACTATAATTACCACATTTTAATAGTATTTTCTTATAATTTACATTATAATGCCCTAACCATTAGGTACTAATTGCGTTTATAGCCATAATTTTGGATTAAATTGAAAGCTTTTACTCGCACTGCTTGAATTTTCCATTTATTTTAATCGCGTGCAGACGAAAAGCAAAAGTTTTTTCTCCATTTTTATTGCAATTATTTCTGGCGCAAAATGAGAACTAAACTGCATGCAAACTCAGAGCTCTTGTGCTTTATACAATTTTGCTTTATTTTTTTTTTTAGTTTGCTAAGGATGCATGCAACATGTTAGCCCCGCAGCTCGACAATTAATTCGTTGATGGTGTGAGTGTGTATCTGTGTGCGAGAAGTGGCCAACTTCACCTTGGAACCTGTTGAATTGCCTTGCGGCCGTGGCAGAATGCAATTAATTTCCCATTTTAATGAGGTGAGACCTTTTCGTTGTTCCCTTAGTGAAAAGTTGGCCAAAAGCGAGTGAGTAGAGGGCGCAAGCCATTTCTTTTGACTGCTTCTGGCCTTGTCATAAAAACTCGGCCAGATAATGGCTGCTGAAATTTATGGCAACACCCACACAAACACCCACACACACTCATTTAGTGAAGCCCATAAATCTGCAAACATAATTTGCTAAACACGTATGCAGAACATTACAAAATGGCCCCTTAATTGCCCTCAAATGGTTTGACATTGTCCATCGCCGGGCAGCCCTGACTTTTCCCAGACATTTTCCCCACCAAACAGGGCTACTCGGGTTACTAAACTGGGCTAAAACAACAGTACAGCCTTATAGCCATGGGGATACGTTATAAAGTTGCTGGCTGAATTTGATGACAGAGCTGAATGTCTGAGCAGCCTCATGTGTGATTAATGGTTTCTTTGCTTTGTTGACGCTAATTGAAAAATGTTGGCCAAACATTAGCGAAAATAATTAGAAACTTGGGCTGCTGAGGGGAATTTAGGAGGGCAGCTCATTGATTGAAAATTTAAAATATTAAGCAGGAAAGGCAATCAATTACGAAGAAGATGGAATGTAGAAGTTATAAATAACAAATTTCAAAGTTTATTGTATATCTGAAAAGTGTATATTATTTTGGGCCACACTTTTCACACTTAAATATTAAAGTTATTAATTTCAATTTTTGTTATTTTGTTATTTAAAAACTCTTAGTAAATCTTCCTCCACCAACTTTGACACACTCCAAAGCACTTTATCAAGAATGAATTTGTAGAAATTTAGGCACTAAGGATTTCCCTATACAGCAGAACCCCCGCTCACACAAGACACATTGCATCAAATGCCAAAAATCCACTTAAGTGCTAAAAGCAGCCAACTCCAAGCTTTTTCCATTTGCATATTGCAAGGCGGAATGTTTCCTGTTTTCGCCGGCGAAAGGGGTACAAAAAATAGCCAGGACTCGAGTGAAACTAAAACAAAACTAAATCTAAAGGCAACAACAACTAACAACAAAGAGAAAACAAATACAAATATGTACAAAAAGCGTGTCAATGTTGCCCAGAACGTAGAACGTAGCTCTTGTTATGCCAATTGTTGTTGTTCCGCAGTTGCGAGTGGCAAACATTTATTGCCGACTCTCCAGCGTCGCCATTGCCATTGTCTAAATTTATGGGCGCCATTTTGTTTTGTTTGGTGCAAGCATTTTGCAAGTCAAGTGCATTTATTTTTAAATGCTCAGCAAAGGGCCGCGAAGGGCGTCTCTCTATTCAGAGTGCGTCAGCGGCAACCTCAACACTTGGGCCGCCACGCCGCTTTCTATCTGTGTCGGTGTGGCCGACTTCCTTTCGCTGGCGGGTCTTCCCCAATTCGACGCCATCGACTTCCGGCCACATCCACATCCGCCAGCAGCTGACCCCAAACGGCAGAGCGAGAAAAAAAGCACCTCTTCTAAGCACAGATTGTTTTAAACTTGATTTCTAAAAAATATCCTAATTTTAACGGTTTTGGGAGAGGCAAGTTCACACTGGAGTGTTTGAATGAGAATGCAAAGGAGGGTCACACTAAATTTTTGTTAGATTTATTATAAAATAGATTTTCTAATCTTCTATTTAAAAATTTGTTTTAGAAGAAGTCTTCTAAGTTCTTTTGCGATTTCTTTCAGTGCCGTGTTCTAATTTTATTGGGCTAACAAAAATATGCGAGGGGCGTTCAAACAAAGTTAGTGTGGAAGCAACTCGCACGTCTCTCGGTAGCACACTTTCCATTTTCTGTAAATTTAAGCAAGTTACTCTAATTGTGTTCGCCGCTTTCCCACCGCCTTTTCCCCTTTTATTTTTCGGGGTTTTCTTTTGCGTGCCACAGCGACTTATTGGCCATTGGCATGCAAGCTGCTTCTGCTGCTGCTTCTTCCTCTGCCTCTTGACCAACTTGTCTTGGCCTTGGCTAACATTTAGGGTCTCTCCTTGTGCTATGTGTGTGGGTGCTCGTTCTCACTTTCGCTCAATTGTTGCACTTGGCGAAAGCCAAAGGGGCCAACAAAAGAGAGAGCAAACTTTCCGGGCATTTGTGTATTAACTTAATTGTTTTTATTGGGTATTACGCGGCTTTATGGCCGCGAGGTCCTGCATTCCGACATGGCGTCATCATGATCCCGGTATCCCAGGGCCAAAATCGATGGCAACAGGGTGTGCCAGGCACTGACACTACTGCTATTA